TCATCATGTTACTCATCATCATCCTCGTCATCGTCAATCAGCAGGTCCTCTACAGAACGTCGCTCTCGTCACGCAGGCCTGAAATCTTCTCTCTTTTTCTTTCTCTCTCTCTCCCTCCCCCTCTCTCTCTCCCTCTCACTTTCTCTCTCTCTCTCTTACTCTCTCTCCCTCTCTCTCTCCCTCCCTCTCTCTCTCCCTCCCTCTCTATCTCCCTCTCTCTCTCTCCCTTTCTCTCTCTCCCTTTCTCTCTGTCTTTCTCACTCCCTCTCTCTCTCCCTCCCTCCCTCTTTCTCTCTCTCTCCCTCTCTCTCTCTCTCCCTCTTTCTCTCCCTCCCTCTCTCTCCCTCTCTGTCTCCCTCCCTCTCTCTTTCTCCCTCTCTCTCCCTCTCTTTCTCTCTCTCCCTCTCTCCCTCTCTCTCTCTCTCTCTGGCCAGTTCTCAAGTGGTAGTAGCTTACAGAGCCAGTGTATCTTCAATGACTTGTATCTTCATTCCAGGAGGTGGGCCTCTGCCTGGTGTTCCAGAGACTGCAGCCTCCATCACCCCCCCCCCCCCACCCCCTAGGCCACCGTGCCATTGAACATGCAGAAAGGACACTGTTGAGGAGCCAATTCTCCCCGATGCTCACATCACCAGCATGGCGATGGTTTTCCTCTTTTTGCTATTATCTGTGACTTTTCTTTTTCTTCTTCTTCGTGTTCACCAGCTGTAAACTCTGGCGGAAAGTTCTGGTAGTTCATCCACTTTTAGACTGCAGTCCTATTTCAGAACCTGAGTGTTGCTGGTGCATCCTCATTTGTATGCAGACTATTGGTTCCTTGCCTCACAGGCAGATGCACTCCGACTTCGAAGAAAGCTCCCAATTAGTCGACTCTTACGACATGCTTTTGGGTAGGCAGTGGGTCTATTCTGGTTTCCATATAATAGGACCCCGGAACCCACACGGGGATGTACTGTTTCAATTGGCAAGCTCCGATTATTTTCTTCAATGATTGAGTAAGCGTCCATTACTGACCGACATGACGTAGCCACCGGTAGGATACATAAATGATCTTCCTACTGTAACAGAATGTCAGAAAGATACACCTAGCCATGAGTGAGTGAGAACATCTCTGTCTGATTTGCTGTCTGCTATTCTGAAGCATAAAAATAGTCAACATAATTGCTCTCTTCTATAAAGACTTTTCCTGCAGTGTAAAAAATTACAATACATCTTTCCCAGTAAAGACAGGGATGTGTTATGTCATCTCTCTTCATGAACCTTGTGATTGATTGGATACTAAAAAGCACAGTGGACAGGACATTAAGAGGCATACGATGGACTCCATTCGCCATGCTTGAGGACCTTGATTTTGCAGATGATATAGCACTCCTATCAAATAAACATGAACATATACAAGAAAAAAGTAACAGACTACACAGCACAGTAGAAATGGTAGGACTGAGAATAAATACAAAGAAAACTAAGATCATGACAAACAGTCCAAACCAGCAACCAGTGACCATAAGTAACCAATCACTTGAAAATGTAGAAAATTTCACATATCTTGGCAGTGTGGTGTCCCTACTGGGAGGGACAGGGGAAGACATACAGTCACGCCTGAGCGAAACTAGAGCTGCTTTTGGAAGGATGAGACAAATCTGGAAATCCAACAATTACTGCAAAGGAACGAAACTCCGACTCTACAAGAGCATCATTTTGCCAGTTCTTCTTTATGGAGCAGAATGCTGGAGAATGACCAAAAAGGATGCACACAAGCTGTCCACCTTCCACCACACATGTCTACGTAGAATTATAAAAATTTTCTGGCCAGATACAATCTCAAACACTAAACTACTTCAAGCCACAAACCAAGAAACTTTAGATAGTATGATTACCAAGAGAAGATGGAAATGGCTTGGCCACGTTATGAGAATGACTTCTGATATACCTGCCAAAATAGCTCTCACATGGACACCAGAGGGAAAGAGAAAACAGGGGCGCCCAAAAACAACACGGAGACGAACAATGGAAAGTGACCTGAGTGCGGCATCTTTGACATGGAAAACTGCACTGAAGATTGCACAGGACAGGAAAGCATGGAAAGTCCTCTCTGAAGCCTCATGTGCCACTAGGCATAACGAGAACTAATGATGATGATGATGATGATAATTCTGAAGCATAAACTACTGTGTGGCTAGGTTTTCATGTTACAGTTCAGGTTCATCACTGTTTCTCTTTTCTTCTTACCTTCTTCTGGTCCTCCCCCTTCATTTCTTCTTTCTCCTCCTCTCCCTTTTCTTATTTTCCGCCTCCTCTTCCTTCCACGTCTCCTTTTTTTTTTTTTTTTGGGTACTTTTTCATGTCCATTTCTGCTATTTCCCTTTCTTTTGTTTTCTCCTGCTCTCCTTCCCCCTTTGATTTCTCCTTCCCCATCTCTTCTCCTTTGAAAAAAAAAACATCTCCTTTATTCGTTCCTTTATTCTCATTCCCCATTCTTTTTATTTCTCATACTTTTTGTCTTTCCCAACTCCTCCTTTCCATTACTTTTCTCCTTTCCCTCTAGCTTTTCCTTTATTCTGATTTTCTTCCATCTACTCTTCCTCCACAGTCTTCTGTCTTCTCTCTTATTCTCAAATGTTCCGTCTTCTCTTTGTATTCAGGTGATTGGTGTCTTCTTATGTTCTTCTTTCTGAATTTAAGTCAACCATGAATCAATTATAAATCACTAAATCATCAATTAATAATCCATCAATCAGCCACACGTCATCAATTGGTCAATCATCAAACGATCAACACATTCACACAGACACAAAAGCCAACTACCACGTTCAAGCCACTGTGTTCAGGTTCTTTACGTTGTACATTCTCTCTCCCCCTCCCCCTCTGTGTCCACAGATCATGTACAAGGCAGTCGTCCTCCTCCTGGCTCTAGCCGCCCTGTCCATGAGTGCCCAAGCTTTCGGGTTGGGCGGTGGATTAGGTGTACTAGGTGGATACGGTGGACTGGGTGCACTGGGTGGATACGGTGGATACGGTGGATTCGGTGGATACGGTGGATTCGGCTTCCCTGGAGTCGGGATTGGTAAATACGGATATGGTGGATTCGGTATTGGCGCCCTCGGAGGCTATGGTGGAATCGGTGCATTCGGAGGATATGGATTAGGTGGACTTGCATATGGTGGCTTAGGAGGCTATGGTGGACTTGGCGGAATCGGCGGCTTTGGTGGAATTTATGGTAAGTTTTTAGCTATCGTTTATGATACACGTTGTTTGATCTGTTGATCCGTCAGTGATGGTTGTGCAGTAATGGTCACTTTGTACTTTCTATAAAGTCAGCGAGGTGTCTGTCTGTGATAAATGTGCCATGTCTGTCTATGATAAAGTCGACGTATCTGACTATGATAAAGACGCCATGTCTGACTATGATAAAGACGCCATGTCTGACTATGATAAAAGCGCCATGTCTGACTATGATAAAAGCGCCATGTCTGACTATGATAAAGACGCCATGTCTGACTATGATAAAGACGCCATGTCTGACTATGATAAAGACGCCATGTCTGACTATGATAAAGACGCCATGTCTGACTATGCGAAAGACGCCATGTCTGACTGGGATAAAGACGCCATGTCTGACTATGACAAAGACGCCATGTCTGACTATGATAAAGACGCCATGTCTGACTATGATAAAAGCGCCATGTCTGACTATGATAAAGACGCCATGTCTGACTATGATAAAGACGCCATGTCTGACTATGATAAAGACGCCATGTCTGACTATGATAAACACGCCATGTCTGACTATGATAAAGACGCCATGTCTGACTATGATAAACACGCCATGTCTGACTATCACAAAGACGCCATGTCTGACTATGATAAAACGCCATGTCTGACTATGATAAAGACGCCATATCTGACTATGATAAAGTCGCCATGTCTGTCTATGATACAGATGCCATGTCTGTGTGTAATAAATTCGCCATCTCTGTCTATGATAAAGAGGCTATATGTCAGTCTATGATAAATTCACCATGTCTGTTTATGATACAGACGCAATTTATGTTGATGATAAATAAGCCATGTGTGTCTATGATAAAGACGCCATGTATGTGTATGATAAACGCGCCATGTCTGTTTATGATACAGACGCCATGTCTGTCTGTAATAAATTCGACATGTGTGTCTATGATAAAGACGCCATGTCCGTTTATGATTAAGGCACCATCTCTTATATGATAAAGCCACTCTGCCTGCCCTCGAGGATTACAGTCTGAAGGATCAATACCTCAAGGAAAGCCTGTTTAACCTACAGCCATCTAGCACATTTGTACTGATGCCCCATACAAGGGATGTTCAACCGCACTAGGACCACACGCTGTGAGTGACTAACACATAGTGACGTCAAATGCAGACTATCCCTCTTAGGATGAGAACCTTTCAGGTACAAATCTGGAAAACGCCCTTCAACTATTAGGTTACACTGAGGCCCCCCAAGCTACAGATCAGACTGAAGTCCAGACAGTAGTGGCACTATGTTATGATCGAGGCACCATTAAACGATTACAAAGTAATATGTAAACAAGTGTGTGGTTGATAATGACGCCATGGATGAATGTGATCAAACAGTTCTGGTAAGCCAAAATCTGCTCTAAAAACTCCCAACATATTACTCAACAACTACAACCAATACAGGTTTTTAGTACACAATGCTAGACTTATTTGCAGACCAATCGGTACTCGCTGGGCGATGCTGACAACACTACACCAGCCGTCTTTACTTCCCACGACTTGCATTGTTAAATTTGTAAGGCATGTTAACCAGGAAGAAAATGCCAAATTTAAAATGAAAAAAAAAAAGCATTGTCTGTTCGAATTTGAACCCACCGCATTTTTTAAATCTGCAGACGTAGTTCTAGCCGCAACAGCATGGCGACTTCCAACGATAACTAGTGATATAACAATGAATGATCATGTTGGCCTCTCGTGTTTCCACAGGTAAAGGTCTGTACTAAAGCTCTTCCAGAGACTAGCCAAACCATGAGGACATCTGTGGAGTTATTTTCCTTGTGGCTATGCTGACATCAGGTCCCGGAGTTATCTCCCCTGACGTTAGGACAACGGAGACCAACATGGCATGATGTTGTTTGGATCAATAAATCGACCACCAAGTGGCTCCCACGACGCAACTCAGTCACCACTTGCTTCCATGTGTCCTCTGTGTCAGAGCGGCACACGACGCAGCTCACCAACTTGCATCCAATTTGTCCCTTGGTGTCAGAGCGCACGACGCACTCACCACTGCTTCCATTTGTCCCTGTGTCAGAGCACACGACGCAACTCACCAACTTGCTTCCAATTTGTCCCCTGTGCTGTGAAACCCTAAAGAGTAAACGGTCCTGTCTGGTGTCTATGGCTTAGGCGTTGCGAACGCGCTTCGTAATGCCAGGCTGCCGGGTTCAATCCCAGCTGCCGTCTTGCCCGGTGCCCCCCTTTTTTTTGGCCCCGGGTTTTGCGTTGGTGGCGAGGGAAGTGGTATCCAGAGCTGGCCGTTCAGTGGCAATGACAAACCACTGGAAGTAAATTTGCCTAGGAAAAACACAACAGCCAAAATGCTGGGATTGGATCTCCAACGCCCTGTAAAAAATACGCAACTTACTGTAAAAATAGAACTGGCCGGCACTGTCTGTTTCTGGCTAGGAGTGAGAAAAACAGGAGACAGAAGTCACTGATGAAACAACTGGACGTTATGGATTAAAGCGGCCAGGGGCAATAAGGGTAACAGAAACGAAAGGACACTGGGTCAATGTCAACATCTCTTTACTCATCATCACTATCATCTCACCATCATCATCACCACCACTAGCACCACCACGACATCCTCCTCATCATCACAATCAGCATCATCATCCACAGCAGCAGCAGCATCACCATCTCACCTAGCCCTAACTCCCATCACTCTACCAGTCTGTAACCTTATTTCACTGCACATCAAGTTATCAAATACTTTGATCATCTGGTCAAAAATGAACAAAATCAGCAAGCAAGAACGGCATAAAAACAGCACGTGACAAGAAAGAAATGGTTGGGTAAATGTCAAGTAAAAGGGACACAACAAAATACAGTAAGACACAAACACAAGTTACCAAACTAGAAACAGACCAGAAACTAGACATAACTTCTCTCCGATTTACGGCAAAAGCAGTAAGATAACAGCAGACACAAGTTTACCTTTTCAAATTTATTTCAATAGCGAATATATTATGAGAAGATAAAATTTGGGAGATGCTACAACAACTGGAACGCTTTAGAGAGAGAGGAGAGAGAGAGAGAGAGAGAGAGAGAGAAGAGAGAGAGAAAGAGAGAGAGAGAGAGAGAAAGAGAGAGAGAAGAAAGAGAGAGAGCGAGACAGACAGACAGGACAGACAGACAGACAGACAGACAGACAGACAGACAGACAGACAGAGCAGACGACAGACCTAACAGACAGACAGACAGACATACCGACAGACAGACAGACAGACCCGACAGACAGACAGACAGACAGACAGACAGACAGACAGACAGACAGACAGACGAAGAGACAGACGAAGAGACAGACAAAGAGACAGACAGACAGACAGACAGACAGACAGACAGACAGACAGACAGACAGACAGACAGACAGACAGACAGACAGACAGACAGACAGACAGACAGACAGACAGAAAGGGGAGGGGGAGAACGAACAAATTTGGGACGCTGGCCCGTCTTACATTCGACCCTTCCAAAACAGCCATCTTTCACACAGTAGTTGTATTTTATCAACAACGCAGTTTTTGTTCGTAAAACAAAATGCATAATATAAATACCAAGGGAAAAAAAAGCACGGATGATAAATGCATGCAAACAAGCTTAGACGCCCACTCAAAAATACACTCACTCACTCTCGCTCGCTCTCTCATTCAATCACTCAGTTATTCACACGCTTGCTCACTCACCCTCATACACAACATCCCCTCATACACAACATCCCCTCCTCCCACACACACACATACACAAGAATGACGGCCTTTTGTGGTTCAAATCTATTGACAAACAGAAATAATACAGGCTTCTGACGTTTAGAATGCGGAGAAGTAATGGCAAGTCATAAAATAGCATTTTCCTCAACATTTTATCTAGTTACTGTGTGCAGGCTGGTCTTACCAGCACAATGCGCCCGCGGGAAAACCACTGTGCCGCGGCCCCTTCGACAACCAGTCACAGGAATGAAATGTAATTGTTCGATTATATTAAACATACGTTAATTGTATAGGTACTTTAACAAAACTGATGTCACTCAGGGAAAGGATGAGACGGATATACAATCAGACGGTTACGGTTGCCATCGGAATTGGAGCTCTTCGCTTGCTGCTGAAAAAGTGACGGAGCACTTATGGGAGTGTACCGAGCGCTGTGATGTCGATTCAACATTCAAAATTCAAAACTGGTGTTAAAAGCAATATAAATTTGATGGCACGATATCAAATTACTATTAAAACAAGTATTTGCGGCATTTTTTTTTTCTCTCTACAGAATTGCTCTATGATTGGCTTGAAGTCAGTGTTCTTCAAGGTATCATTTCCCAGGCGCGGGTGTGAAAGCCAGTCCGAACGATGCTGTCCCACTGTACTATGGAGCATAGAGTTTACTTGATAGTGTCAACCTTGAAAGATAACGTTCTTCTCTACAGGTGCTTACATCAAGCACATGAACACTTTCAATTTCAACTTCAATTTCAAGCGCAATTTCAACATGAGGAAAAACAGATTTCAGATTGTTCAAAATTATTTTCTGAACAGTACAGGAAGAGTCTTACCATTTTCATAGTAAGCCGTATAGAGCATTTTGTAAAAGGTCATCATAATTCAGGTGTTGTGAGTGATAGTCACCTGATTTACACTTCTTTTACCACCCTAGGACATCAGACAAGCGATAAACACCCGACGACACAAAGTGTCACCATGTGGATGAGGATCACCCGTGGAGAGGTCCCAGAAACCGCGTTCAGCCATTAGACCATATTTATGGTCGGGCTATATTTCGGTCCCTGACAAGAGCCAGAGTAGAGCTTCAAATAACGAAACATTGCATTTCACAAGGAGATGACTGGGTATATATATGCATGAACGGGATTTATGGAGTGCATCAGAAGCAAAGGTTGTCAGTTTAAAAAGAAATCAGATTTCGAATCTGTGAATAAACCTCTGTTTGTTAGTTCAAAGATGAGAGTAGCGACCAGAACAGGATAGACCGTTTCCCACATGAACTTGGTTTTGCTGAGAAGTAGCTCTCATGGCAGCTCTGTTTATCTATAGTATTGTAATAGGTATCTGGACACCTACTCCTGGCTTTGAAATCATACTCATGAAATTCGTCCTACGTTTCCTGAAGACAGGTTTGCACAGACTCCAGAAGATTCGTGGCAACAAGGATGTTGACACCCTTTGATTACCGAACCCTGCTTGTTGTATCCAATCTTAGTAGCTTATCATTCCAAAGAACAGTGAGAAAGATTGTTTCCCTTTTTTGCTTTCTGCGCCTCTGCTTGTATTAGAGAATCCAGTGCATGTTTGATTTCCTCGAAACCCACATACGTGCTGACCATCGTGTCTCAGACAGACGCTTGAACACAACATGTTTTCTGACAATGATGTCAATAAATTCAACCGATTATTAGAACCAGCTAAAATTAAACACAGATGCTCGTCAATGTCAACCAATTGTACAGACTCTAGACTTTTAATCTATACGACTGATTATCCAGTTTCGTCCTTTTCAGGACGAAATTTTTTGTTATTTGAAGCCCAACCCTGGCTTTTGCCAGGGGCCGCAATATAGGCAGGCCATAAATATGGCCAATTGTCTGAACGCGGTTTCTGGGACCTCTCCACGGTGATCCTCATCCACATGGTGGTACTTTGTGTCATCGAGTGTTTATCGCTTGTGTGCTATCCTGGTGGGGTGGAAAGTCAGTCAGTCAGACTGTAGACAACGTCTGCTGCCTTTATTTCCCATCAAGTTCAGGTTGTGAAAATGCTAAATATAACACCAACGTGACTTGATGTCTCAACGGAGGGAATGGAAAAGACGCACACAAGCACAACCAAACGTTTCGACCAAAGTCTTTATCAACGGAGTACACAACACAGCAAACACTGAGACCAGAAAACACAACGGGCAAGACAACAGAGCTAATAAAGAACTAAGGTCAACATGAAACCAAGAAGTACGTAATAAGGAAAAAGTAAAAATATATAGGCTATGATACAAACCGAAATAAGTAAGAAGACGTACGTCAAAAGAGGAAGAAGGAAATATGATAAGGTGAAATAAATTGAATAAGTAAATTAAATTAAATCAAATCACGCTGTGCTGAATATTTATCCCTCTAGGACTAAAACAGTCAAAACTATGGAATGAAAGGATTAGCAAAGGAGTATCGACTGGTTTGATCACAGTAGCATGATTAAATAGCAGTGACTGAGATATCGTTTTCGCCTTGGTGATCAGACGCTGTTGAAATGTGGGGGGGGGGGGGGGGGGGGGTTAGTTTGGAGAGCCTTATTACAAATGTCAGCAAGATGTTTTCACGGCAGTGATCTGCCTTTTTACATCTTTGCCCGATGAGGGCGTAAATTTATAGGTTACGGCGATTCGCAGTGGAAATGCTTCTCTGTATGGTAAAGTAAAGTACATAAACCCTTTGGAAAGCGGACCGAATGGGTTTGGATCACAAACAATGGACATGTTTTTTACCATCCTTTGTACGGGAGCTTTTAGAAGTCCCGCCAGGGAGCCGTTGTATTTATCAGAGCAGTCTCCTTCGGACAAGGTATTGTTCTTAAGATTAACGTCTCGCCTGAATACTTACTCTGTTTGCACTATAAGATCTCAAGGCTCCGCTGCATACTACTACTTGTTGTCACTAAAGATCTCCCGACCTGACTAAGATCTCACGACTCGCCTTAACTATTTGTTGTCACGAAAAAAA